ATTTCTTGTTTAGAGTGAATTAACAGACCAAAGAACTAAAGAACTAAGCACTCTAGAAGACAGAAGACAAGCTCCAGCAGGGAAGTGGCTTATAAAATATCTTAAAAGTTTTGTTGTTGTTGTTGTTGTTGTTGTTGTTGTTGTTGTTGTTGTTGTTGTTGTTGTTGTTGTTTTTGTTGTTGTTGTTGTTGTTGCAAGAAGCAGTTTTCAGAGAAGTGATATTTAAAAGAGAGTTTGGACACAAATGTCCAAGTGGAAGAAGGGAGGAGGAATTGTTCCCCATCTAGATGAGCCTTAAGTATACTCTGTACTTCTCTGTATACCTAGTAACATTAAATGAGAAACCTGGTGCACTATGGTACATGGTTTTTAGTAATAAATAGGCATTGCTTTTATTGCATACAACAGTAACGTTTATATAGAGGAGCAGAGGAGGGTCTGTATTATGATCCTGTTTTGGAGAAGAAGCAACTTGGACTGAGAGAAAGTACAATCTTGAGTCTGTACTGATTTTTGGACATGGAGGTATAGGTCATAAATGTGTTCAATTAAAAAAGAGTGTTGGCCTCAAATCAGGAAAGTACATTCCTGACAGAAATGGGCTTTGAAGTTTGGATCACCTCTCTTGATCACTAATATGTACAGTATGTAGTTATCCCATAGCTGAGTGAATTTAACAAGGCCGTGTCCTGTATGCAGACCTGTTATTTAAATTTGTAGGGTACACAATGCTGTTTCAGCCATTTACTATCTATTCTTCATTTCACACCTGAGTGTGAAGTGGTGAGGTTGTTTGAAGTTCCTTTGTGGGGATCATGGGGTGAGTACCATAGTGGTGGAGTTTCAGCTCAAACTGCTTCCAGTCCATATAGCTTGGACCAGTTTCTGCCTCTCAGCTTGTTGCAAGGATAAAACATTCAAAGCACACCATTCTTATAAGGGATATAAAAGCGAGTGTGTGGCGGCCAAATCTCAAGCTATGCTAAGCCTGCTATTTAAAGACACATTCAATCTAGTCATTTTTAGACTGAGAGGCAATTCAAATCAGGCCCTATATAATTCTTCCCCTGAAGATTGCCTCCTCTGGTTGCTATTTGCCCCAGAAGATGCTATTTGCAATGAAAGAGCCAGGAAGCAAAGGGATTTTTTAATCACCACATCTGCTTCATGATCCTACTAGGAAAAAAAACACAAACGAATGTTACAATAGTGTAGTTTAGCTCTGGTTGAGTAAATGAGGAAAGTGACTCCGAAAAGTGACCTTATGACTCAGAAATAACAGTGTTGTGACACGTTTAAGACAATCAGAGTCATTGTGAACTGGAGTCCATTTTATCACAGGCATGCTGGGAGGGCCTGATGAAAGCTGTAGACCAGAACATCTGGAGGGCCAAAAGTTCCTCACCTCTGCTAGATTTTCGTGTTGTACGGGTAAATTTAAGACCTCTCTGAAGACTGTATGTCTTGTGGGTTCCTCTTCATTTACCACACTGAGGGAAGGCTGCCAGCAATGCATATATGTTGCATGTGGTCTCTTCCTGGGGGTGGTGATGGTTGTGGATTAATTCTTCTATGCAAAGATACCTCCTGCTGACTGTTGAAATGCAGAACAAAGGATGAGAGACTTTTCTGACCATGGATGCTATTAGCTTAATGTTTCTGTTCTCTGATCTTCCTGTCCTGTTTGCTTTGTACAGCTTAATCAAGTTTTTTTACAATATGTGGACCAAGTAATTGAAAACAAATTTAGCATGTCTCAGACCATCAAGTTCCCTTTCAGCTGGCTGGCTGGCTGTGCGGTAGACTTGTCTGCTTTCAATTTCCAGTGATGTTAGAAATGTAGAATGGCTTGATTTGTAATTGTGAATGTTAATAATGAAAGAGATATTCCCCGGTCTCAAGCTTACACAGGAATTCTGGCTCCGTTACGCTTCACGTAACAAACCCCAATTCAAAACCCTGTTGTTATTCTGTGCTGAAAATTTTTATGCTCAGCTATTGTTGTTTTTAACCAAGTGCCCATTTTATTTCCACGAAACATGCACTGCATACAGGATACAAAAATATTTGTGCAGGGAAAGGTTACTGTGAAAAAGCTGAAAGCTGTTTCTGTCTCTCTTTATACAGGTATTTTAGCTGTGGATGATAATTTTTGATCAGTGTCCCCATAATTGTTCCAGTCTATTCATGGGAAAACAGGGAAATCCAATTTATAGCACAAATCGGTGTTTCATTTTGATGAGAGTTTGTTTTTCGTCTTAACATGTGCATGCTTGATAGGGAGAGCTGTTTTATCGAAACCACATTAAAATCACAGTGTTTCTTTAGTTTGATAGTTGTGTGTAAATGCCCCTTTTACAACCAAGCTTTTAATGAAACTGTAAGCTCCCAAGTCTTGGGAACAAGGGAACTACTGAAGCTCCTCAACTTGAGTTAAGCTAATGCTTATGTACGGTCTGTTTCTATACTTCCTGTAAACCTTTTCCCCTGCTCAGGTAACTTAGGCTTTAATAAAGCAGTGTTGCTAATATAGTTTTGGATGAGCTTCCAGAGAGCGGTTTATTAGCCCTTTAAGAAATATTAAGAGATTTCAAGTGTGCTTTCTACCAATCAAGTCTGAAGGCTTCTCTGTGTTTGATCAGATATACCAGATATTTGCATAGTTTATGTGCATTTGTTGGTGGGAGAAGGGGCAACTCTGGCTTTTACCCCTTGTGCTTTGTAGTTTTTGAGGCTTTTGGACATGGCCTTCTAGTATATGGTGGCCCCAGGGTTTCTGTGCCTATTCATTGTCTAGGAAGGGGCAAACTCTGGCTTTTACCCCTTGTGCTTTGTAGTTTTTGAGGCTTTTGGACATGGCCTTCTAGTATATGGTGGCCCCAGTGTTTCTGTACCTATTCATTGTCAGAAGAAGGAAGCTATACTTCCTGAAATTTTTTTAACACCTGTTAAAGGTACAGGAGTCCTGACCCTTCATTTCATGTGTCCACCTTTCTATATTGTTCAGGACTTCTAGTTGCAAGTAGAAAGTGTTTTGATGGGACAATAAATAAATAAATAACCTGGAAAATAGGAAGGGCAGGTGTGGGGGGATGAGCCAGTATATCTTCTCTTTTTTCATGACCTGGAAGGGAAAAAGAAGAGCAACCATGAGCCCTAGGCACTGCTTCCGTAAACATGCAACGTGTCACTCATTTGAACTGTGGTCCCTCCTAGAGCCTAGTGGCTTTAGTGATGACCCGCACTTTTATGAAACCATGTGATATGCCTCACACAAGACTCTGTTATATGAAATAGCAAGGCATGTTGGTTTAATCCAGTCGTTGGAGTTCTGCAGGGCAACATTTTTCATGGGAACTATAATGTCATATTCTTCTGTTCACTTGCTTGCACTCTTTCCCTTCCTATCTCTCTGGATACATATGTACACACACACACATACCTTTTCTTGGCTCTGGTGTAATCATGACTGCAGATTATTTTTTCTACCACTAGATTATTTCCAGCTATTCAGAAGCAGGAAATGCTTTGTGAGCCAGCAACATAAACTGACAAAGACTTTGGCTAAACATATGATTGATGCCTCACCTATTGAAATTAAACTTTTAGGTTAGCTTTGAAGTTTATCCTTGCACATTATATATAAGGAAGATCCTGAACATCCTGTCTTGGTAATGTTTTGTTGTTTTGCTATGGAGAAGACAGCAGCCCGATTGGTTAGAATGCCTACTTGCTCAAAATAGCTTAAAGATTTTGCAAACATTCAGCTCTTTGAACAACGGGGCCAGTCTCCCCATTAGACAGAACAAAGCAGCTGTCTCGGGTGGTTTGGGAGCACTGGCAAGTTGCTGGAAGACACCGATAGGTGTGATGTATGCCTTGCATCCCCTAAGCTAGTTTGGAGCCCTCAGATGCAGAGGGACGCTATCTAAGTGCCCAACAGTCCAGTGAGATTCCACTGCCAACACGTTTCTGTTCATGCAATGAAAATGGTCACTACGGTGTTGCTCACTGCAATGCCTTGGCCAGACCTGCCAAAGGAAAAGCCAAGTTTTTATTTGTAAGAGATGCTTTTGTGTGGGTATTATTTTGTTAGGATGGCTTTTTCAAACAAACTTACTGTACTAGTATAAACAAGAACAGGCCATTCAGCAAAATGGCCTCCCATGAGGTCCACAGTTCACTGGTAAATAAATGCTTTGTGTGCAGAAGTTCCCAGGTCCTTTCCTTATCATCTCTAAGAAGAGTTGGAAAAAGTCCTGCCTGAAACCCGAGTCAGTGTCAGCAGTACTAAGCTACATTGACCAAAGGTCTGATAAAGCAGCTTTCTGTGCTCCTGTGTTCCTAGTCTGGTGTTCTACAATGTACTAGATTACAGTTTGGACTCCTGTTATGCTCAGCTAGCAAGTCTGTCAGCCATGATGCAGTAATCTGAGGAGCTTTCTGTTAGATATAAATTGGTTGTAAAGGTTCAAATTTTATTGCTGCTTTACTACAGGTTACATAAATCGAAGTCCTGAGATGGATAGGATAGCAGTAAGTTATCCAAGAGCCTTGATGAGTTCCATAGTTGAAGAAATATTGGAATTGATATCTCTAAAACAAAATCTCTAGTTCTGCATCACGTTGGTATCTCCTACTAGAAATGTCAAATATTATTCAAGATTTCAATAACTTTTGAATTGCTTTGGAAGTAATAAGAATAGTTTCAGGCATTCTTAATATGTGTTTTTTCAGCTTTGTAATGTAAATCCACAAAAGTTAATAGAACAAAATATAATATTTTTCACTTATCAGCTGAGAAGTAAAGAAGAAAAACTTATTTGTTCATGAAAGGTTTCTGCCTAATAATCTGAAAATTCCTAATCTTCCCAAGTGATGAGATGAGCAACTGTTTATGTCAGTCATGTTTTCTATCTCTGACACTACTTACAGTTTGATTTTTCTGCTCTATTTGTAGTTAGAAGATGCTAACATTAACTAATTTGGTCTCTTGGCAGCTTCATGGTTATATGGACAGTAAGCCGCTTGGCCTTCAGATCTTCATTGGAACAGCAGATGAGCGTATTCTTAAGCCACATGCTTTCTACCAAGTCCATCGCATCACGGGGAAAACAGTCACCACCACGAGCTACGAAAAAATAATTGGCAACACAAAAGTGCTGGAAATTCCTCTGGAGCCAAAAAACAACATGAAAGCAACGTAAGGGTGCTATCATAGAAAATGTCTTTCTGAGATTAACATAGCAAAGTATAATATTCATTCAGAAGGCAGTTGTATTTAATTTGAACAGAAAATTCAGAAATGTGAAATCCTTAAACTGTCGCTTCATTGAGTATGATTTTATATAGAGCTTATCATTTGGTGGTGATGCATACCATCAGAATAGGGACAGAGTGAATGATCTCTGAATTCTTCATTGTTAGTGAGACATTTTAAATTTCTGGAGATTTCTAATCTCCAATCATGGTTCTTATAAATTGTTTCGAATGTTTCTCGTGTCTCTGACACATATTAAGCACAGACGGACTCTCTGATTGTAAAGAAACAATAAACTATCCATAGCTTCATACTCTTGAGCAAGACTACAGTCATCCTAGTTTTGGACAATTTGTGCAAAATCTAGGATGACTGTAGCCTTGCTTAAGGTAATATTGTGCAAGAGATTATGCTCACTAATGTGAGAACATCAGCAGGAAATTTCCTTGTCACCCTTGCTAGCAAGTAGAAGATTGTTGCAGTTTCTTATATCCAAGTGAAGATTTACTTTCCTAGGGCAGAAGTTTCCTGGTTCAGCTTCTCACATCTCTAATTAAAATAGTTACCGTATTTTTCCGTGTATAAGACACCCCCATGTATAAGACACCCCCCACTTTTCTAACCCAAAATTAGGAAATCTAAGTGGGGCTTAGCAATATAGGGGGAAAGGGATCAAAGCACTGCAGGATCACTTTGATCCCTGCTTTCCCCTCTACTTTTTCTCTCTCTCCTCAGCTTAATTCCATGTAGAAGACGAGATTCAATTTTTAGTCTAAAGATTTTAGACAAAAGTATAGTGTTGTACATGGAAAAATACGGTAGGTAGCAGGATATGATGAAAACATCTCTTGGCCTGATTGTGGAGTGCTACAGAGTAGCACATAAGGACAGATGAACCACAATGGCCTGATCCACTGACTTTCACATGAGCATCAAAGATGAGTATGAATGTGAACCCTGATCATGCTCTAATGATTATACCACATTGTCTCTTTTGTTTAAGATGAAATGCTGAAACACATGCTTCTGTACACAAAGCATATGCTTAGTCTTGGGGTCTTACTTCAAAGAATCAAATGTGTGAAAGCGACCTTTAAATATATAATTGTAATCAATGAGGCCTAAAAGTGCATCAACACTTGTCCTTTCTATCTGCAAATGAGTTTGGGCTTTAGACAGTTGCTTTGATTGGATGGAGTTAACTGAAGTTTCTGTTTGTCTCACAGTATTGACTGCGCAGGCATCCTTAAACTGAGGAATGCAGACATTGAACTGCGGAAAGGGGAGACAGATATTGGTCGGAAGAACACACGTGTGAGACTGGTTTTCCGTGTGCATATCCCTGAATCCAGTGGCAGGATAATTTCTTTGCAAGTGGCATCCAACCCTATTGAATGCTGTAAGTCCCATTTTTAATATGTAATTGATTTCAGATTATGTTACTGAAACCCATAAATCTTAAAGGACAGAAATAAACCTGGAAACAGCTAATCAAATCTCCTGTCCAAAAACAATTATCCTTTGTGTACTATGTTTCTTGCATGTTAATCCTTAATGAACTGATTAAAACTAATATGCCTAAGTTTGCAAGCCTTTGAATACTTAAAGAGGGAGTAAATCTTTTTGGAGGCAGTATGATTTGCATCCAAGTAGATGTGTTTAGAGGTAAGCTGCACATAATAATTAATGAGTTGTTACAATCTCACTAAGAAATTGCTGGGCTACTTCAACAAGAGATAGAAAGTAGAGATTAAGCAGACTCTACGTGGTCTCTAAAAATGCTTATTACTCAAAAAGTCTTTAAAATATACAGTTTTATGACTCTCACCCTGAACACATCATTTGCAGCCTACTTCCAGGCAGTACTCCAAGACTGAGTAAGGCAAGCAACACATGTGATAGGATAGCGGGGTGTGGGAGTTTCCCTTCAGTATGCTTGATTAATCCCAATGTTGAGGAAGAGGGGATTTCCACTGAATATATCTAATGATTCCAGAATGTTGGCTGTTCTACTAACCCACCAGGTCTCCCTTGCAAAAGTATCTTCAGGTCACCGTCTTAAGTTCACCCTTTTAGATTCCACATCTCAAGCTATCGTTTTTTTGTTTGAGAGAGTTAGATCAGAAGTAAATCCTTAGCATTTCACAAGACTTGGCCCCCATTCCAGCACATCCAAGGAGACCCAGTCATTTTTGGAGTGCTTGTACTAATGAGCTTCTTTGCTCATCCTGTGATGCTTTTCATTAGTAACCTGAGCTTTCTCAGTGGTTTGGGGATTTACAGAAACACGATGAACCATTTTCACTTATTTTATTGTATGACTCATATTAGTATACAAAATCCTGTTGTAACAATAAACAGCCTGAGAAAAGTTGCTCTAAAGACCTACTCTGTGGTTTATAATTGTAAAGTCGTGATACCAGTGTGAATGAAACACTGAAGAAGTTTGATTAGTTCATGGTGCCTGTTTTTTGGAGTGGAAAAGAGAATGCTCAAGCAGCTGGACCTTAGTCTGCCCCCCACCCAACGACGAGACCAAGATCCATCTGCCTGCCAAAAAATGCATCTAGAAGCACTGCATAATTATTTGTCAAAGATTTGCTACTGTTCTGCATGTAAGGGTCATTTGGCTAATCTATTTTTGATGACTGATTCTTTATTTTACTATAAAAAGAACAAACAAATAATCATCCAAACCCATAATCATCATCATTTCTTTTGTTGTTGAGTCGTTAACCCATGACCGACTCTTCATGACCCCATGGACCAGAGCACGCCAGACTCTCCTTTCTTCCACTGCCTCCCGGAGTTTGGTCAAATTCATGTTGGTAACTTTGATGACACTGTCCAACCATCTCATCTTCTGTTGTCCCCTTCTCCTCTTGCCCTCACTTTCCCAACATCAGGATCTTTTCCAGGGAGTCTTCTCTTCTCATGAGATGGCCAAAGTATTGGAGCCTCAGCTTCAGGATCTCTCCTTCCAGTGAGCATTCAGGGTTGATTTCCTTCAAAATGGATAGGCTTGTTTTCTTTACAGTCCAAGGGACTCTCAAGAGTCTCCTTCAGCACCATAATTCAAAAACATCAATTCCCCGGCGGTTGGCCTTCTTTACGGTCCAGCTCTCACTTCCATACACCTCTACAGGGAAAACCATAGCTTGGACTATGCAGACCTTTGATGTCTCTGCTTTTTAAAATGCTATCTAGGTTTGTCATCACTTTCCTCCCAAAAAGTAGGTGTCTTTTAATTTCGTGGCTGCTGTCACCATCTGCAGTGATCATGGAGCCCAAGAAAGCCAGTGGCCGTTATCTTAGTTTTTTGATGTTGAGCTTCAGACCATTTTTTGTTCTCTCCTCTTTCACCTTCATTAAGAGGCTCTTTAATTCCTCCTCACTTTCTGCCATCAGAGTGGTATCATCTGTATATCTGAGGTTGTTGATATTTCTTCCAGCAGTCTTAATTCCAGCTGGGGATTCATGCAGTATTGCCTTTCACATGATGTATTCTGCATATAAATAAGCAGGGAGACAATATACATCCTTGTCATATTCCTTTCCCAATTTTGAACCAATCAGTTGTTCCATATCTAGTTCTGACTGTTGCTTCCTGTCCCACATATAGATTTCTCAGGAGATAGATAAGGTGGGCAGGCACTCCCATTTCTTTAAGAACTTCCCATAATTTGTTGTGGTTGACACAGTCAAAGGCTTTTGCATAGTCAATGAAGCAGAAGTAGATGTTTTTCTGGAACTCTCTGGCTTTCTCCATAATCCAGCGCATGTTAGCAATTTGGTCTCTTATCATCATTTCTAGGGGTAGTAAATTCCTCTGCATGACATACTCTACATTTAACACCTCTGTGTTAGCTGGTGCTGCTAAACATCCCCATGAATTGCTCATGTACCTGTGTATAGCCATTCAGTCTGTTTTGTGGTAATATTAGAAGAAAACATACACACAGTTGGGAGTCTGGAATGCAACCATTATGGAAAAGATTACCCACCTGCTTCAAGCATTTTAAACTGAAAGTATTGATAATTGTGTGTCGTCAAGTCAATTCTGGCATATGCCAACCCTTCTAAGCTATAACCCCTGTAAGTACTCAGAAGTAGTTTACCAGTCTCTTTTTCAAGGGCAGTCTGGGGCCCTGTAGGTTGCCCACCTTATACTGGCAGGCTCTTCTCCCACAAAGCACAGTGGAGAATTCAACTCTTAACCAGATGCTCCATTCAATTAGCTGTTGCATTATCAACTTCTCAAACCTTGTTTTTACCTTCTTCTAAGAGTAAAGGGGTCTCAACACGGGGAACTAGCGAAATGCCAGGTTATTTCTGCATACTAAAACATTCACTTTATTCTTGGTTACAGTTTATTTTGGACAATAACTACAGTCCACTCACCTTCAGTTATCAGGTGGGAGTTAACTCCCAAGGTGTCTAAAGCTCTAGACTCTTTGTTTGGAAATTTTCTATTGCACACTAGTCTTGCAGCTTTTTGCCTTCATATGAATTCAAGATGCCTCCTGGTTCTTACATTGCTTCTCTTCTGGCTTCTGTGGGGGGAAAACAGCTTTAATTTAAAAAAACTAGTTACAGATAATAAAGACTGTTGCTATAGTTCTCAAAAGTGTAAATCTTTGTAGTGGATGAATTTGTAGGGAGCCATTTTGGGTTATATGAACAGAATCATAATTATTATCTTTGAAATTTGGAAGAGGGTCTTTCTTCCAGTTCCACCACCAATATTTATAGGTGCTTTACTATTTGGAAGCTGGAGACTCTTTTGATGATAAATCTGCCTGCAGGTTTCATCAGATGTGGGAGCAATTTGGAGACAACAGTATAAAATACTGAAGTTGAACTAGCTGATCTGTTACTCCTGCCAGTTTCTGCTCCACCGAGACAGTGGTTGCTAGGAGCAAAGCACAATTCCCATTGGTGGTAGGAGCAAATCAGCAGCTGCAATAAAGTGAGAACTAATATAAGCAGAGTGGTTATATCCCACTGTGCATGTATTTTGAGATGTAGTCCTCAGTAGTTTGAATGATGATTGAAGTATATTCCTAAGACACTTAATGTACAGAAACGCATTAGTAAGCAGTTATATTTCCAAAGGAACATTGAATTATGGCAGGTATGCAAAACTGCTGGTTACACTGAATGGAAGAAAAGGGAGTTCAGTATTTATATAAACTAAAAGCAGTTATTGTCCTATGAATTTGCATCTTTGAGCAGGTAAACAGCAGCGACATAATTTGTAGCATGAGATATACAATGGGGAAGAGGTTCTTATCCTTCACCTCCCGATAGCTTTCTATTTTAGCTGATGTCGAAACAGTGGGAAAGAAAATAGTTACAAGGAGTATTTGAAGAGGTGTGCAAGCAGTTAAACACCTTTGTTTGAGGCAGCTCCCCAAGAAAAGCTCCCCACTTCTACATTAGCACAATAAGAAGGTTGCTATTGCCTTGTCTCTGCCCTTAGACGTTAACCCTTGAGATTTACACACTAGATATTGGTCCTTTTTTTCCTCTTTGATTGGGCCATGCACACTTAACAGTGTTCTCTTGCAAGCTCTTTCCAATAAACTTATTACATCAGAGTTTAGGAACATACTTTGAAGAAAAATGAATTTAGTAACACATTCAAACCATTCATAAGTGGAACCATCCTACCACCACTCAGTGATGGACCACTTCAGCCTGCCATTGGCCAAAATCTAGTTGCTTTGTTATGCCTGCAGAAGGCAAATGGCCTGATAGGGTTTTCAACCATGCATCTGCTTGCTGGCTTGGTATGGACCCAAAAAATCTGAATGTTGACTGATTGATTGTGAGCATGAAGCTGCTGCAAGTTATGATGTTGGCTTCTGCAAGTGTAACTAAGGAACAGGATTTTGGCCATTGCATTAAGTTTGCTTGGTAGCAACTTTAAAACTTCTGAGACATTCCTTCCAAAAATATTTACCTAATTAATGTTGGTGTTTCCTTATATTATTCACAACAGAGTTATCTTATGCCAGTGAATTTGGATCAGATTTTTAAATGATGCCTTTTAATTAACTTCCCTAGAATTTGTTTTATTTCTTTCCTGCTCTCTAATTCAATTTCCCCATAAAATTAGATATTCTGCATTTATGATATGTGATGCAGTTATAAATTCATCGGAAGAAATAGTTAGTTTTAAAAATACATTCATCTTGGCAGGTTCTCTATAACTTTTTTTGCAGTCAAGAAACCCAGCTGGTAGCTTGTCAACAGTATGCTAGAGACTAGCTAAAGAGCAGTGAAAAAACATTCTGGAGGCTCTCATGGGATTCATCAGCCTGCTGTCTGCAAGCAGTGCACTGTGAATGCTTTGCATTTAAGCAACTCCACCAGTGAAATCTTTCTGTCTCTTTT